TTTAAGCCAGGGATCAAAAGCGTTTTACAATGTGTGGCAGAAATTGAACTGACATTTAAAGGCAATCCACATTAATAGAACTGTGGCCGATTGCAGGGAGCTAAACTCTGTTCAACCACAAGCCAGACATTACTTATGCAAGATATATTTACTGTGCAAAAGCAATGCCATAATGAGCAACTATGTATGGGTCTGAAGTAAAATGGAAGTGCAATATAAAAACGTGCTATTTTGCTGGATTATTATTACAAGCCAAAGACTCTGAAAATAATGTTGGGCGGAGTTCATCTGCATTGTTCAGATAGCGATGGAAATTCCACATTTCTATGACAGGAGCCAGTTAAACCAAATAAACACAGACTTCTTACAAAGTGGTACTTATAAGAATCGTAATATAATTTATGTATTCATGAAAGCGACATTGGGTGTCAAGACTAATTTTCAGGAGGAACCTGCATTTGAAAGTTTGGTCAATATCTTTTAAATAATTATTTTGCATGGGGAAGGAATCCAGAATACCATAGAAAAGCAATCGCATATGAGGGGATCGCCTTTCAAAAGGTCCACTGACAGGTTAAATAACACACTATAATCTCATAGATAACCAACAGCCTCGAGCGCTTTACATTTCTGCGTGACCCACCAACTGCTGCCTCCAAAGCATTGGAAGGCATCAACACGCCATCACAACCAGGCTCCACTTCGGTCCCGCATGAGAATGACGATGACCTGTGCCTGGTATTTCAACTCGTGACCTTGTGATTGTGAGTTGAGCAGCAAGATTAGCATTACAATAGATCACCATCCTTCGGCTTTTGTACTGGAGGTGACGTACACCTACTTGCTGTGTCCCCTTCACAATAAAGGCATTTTCTCAGATGCAGGTCATAACCCCTTAGGGGGCCAGAGAAAATCCTCGAACTAAAATATAATTAGCATCATAAAACATAAAATTAGGGGAGAAGGAAGGGAGTTGTCTAAGAGGGGCTAGAAGTAATAGTTTTTCAAGTATAAAAATATTTAAGCTTGAATGTGTTTATTTTGTTTAAATGGAATTAGTTGTTCGGTCCAAAAAAATGAGCAGTAATTTAAACAAGCGCTGCGAACTCAGAATAAAAAAATATATCTGGCTTTTTTTTCTTCAAAATCCGTATTTTGAAAAACAAATGACAAAATGAATAACACTTACCACCCAATGGCGGAGCCAGAATTTTCAGGTCGTGGGGGCAACCCCTCCAGCAACCCCTCCAGCAATGAAAAATGATAGGAGTTGTTAGTAAGGACTTGTCCCTTGCTTTTTATTCGACGCGTGTGCAGCGATGGCGCAGCCATCGATCGAGGGTCGAATTCGAACAGTGTGTGATCGGCATCGCGCTCGCTGAAGGTGTTTGCCTTCAGAGAAGTCGTGTACTGTATACGCAACTCGCACAATTCTGTGAGTCACTGCTTTGCCGTTACTTATTGCCAATTATGGGCTCGCTATTGTCCTATCATCTCATAGAGTCCCTCACACATAATAATATGCTACACAGTGGCAGTGGGGGTCGCAAAATGCCGATTTATTACGAATAAACCCCAATGATCCGATCGAAATTAGGGATTTCGATCGGATCATTTGGGGGGGGGGGTACGTGCCACCCCACCCCCCAATGGCTCTGCCAGTGTTACCACAACTACCCTAATGTGCGTATCATACTGGGTGTAGGACAATGGAACTCCCAACCGAGTAATTTTCATGTCACGTATTTTAATTATTAATTAATTCCCCGCTAAAACAAGTGATGATGGATAGCGCTCGCCCGCATTGGTGGTGGAAATTCAACATTTTCACTGGATGAACCAGTCTCTCCATACAAGAACCATAACTGACTTCGCACACGACGGTTAGGCATTTGATTTGCAATCAGAAGGTTTACCAGTTTGAATCCAGCTCAGGCCACAATTATAACTCTTTTACATAAGTCCACAAATTTTGTATGACTTGCCCTCACCAAGGAAATATGGAGTTAGCACCACAGGCTCAGGGGCTTTCAATGGAGATGAGCACCACCCCAATGCTTCTTTGAGACGCTTGGACTTTATTACTACTTGAAGGATAACACAGCAACACAAAACTTTCAGAAATACATTTGTGGTCTTCTGTAACATGGCGGGAGTTGTTGCGTTCCTGAAGAACTCCGCGTTATGGAAAAAATCACGTTATAATAAATAATATAGGTAAAGCACAGTCCGCGATAACACGTGAGGTGCGTAACGCAGGCTAAACAAAGACTGAGGCGCGTGGGTAGCATCTAGAAGCATCCAGCAGCATCCCAATGACTCGTGCAATGCTACTCCGAGACAGCCGTACAGCCGCTTATTCCTACTCGCGCTGCCATGTAGTTCCGTTTACTCGATCGCGTTATATCGAAATTCGAATCCGCGTCATTAAAAAATGTTCTCTCATATATTAATCGTGCTATATCCATTCGCGTTATGAAAACACGTGGTGTTACAGAACATACTGTACTCAAAACATGCCCTCTTGATTTAGCACATGGGTGACCTTTAATCCTTACGCAAAAGCACACACACCAAACCATCTGAGACGGTTACACAGCACACACATCGTTTGAGACAGGCAAGGAGTACACAGCACACCAATGTGTCTCATATATACACGCGGCATGCACACAAAATCGTCTGAGATGGGCTCAGAGCAAACCATAAGTAATCTGAGACAGACACAGACCACATCCAAAAGTCGGAGATAGGCACACACAACAGACACACACTGCCGAGTTCAGACAAATAGTAAATCATTTGAGATACAAAGCACTTAACACAGGTCACCCGATACCATCACGATAAGCACTAAACGTCCATTCCTTCACAATAGAAAGACAATTTATCCTGCGAGCGTGTGCGCCCGGCTGCTGCTCGAGGGCTGACGGCAGCCGTATAATCGCTGCTGTAATTTAAGCGATCGCTTAAAAATAAACACGAAGCGAAAACGATTTCACGCAGCTCCATCACGCGCTGCATACACCCGCAACCCTTAAACAGCACACGAGACTGACTCTCTTGCGACCGCATGTACAGGCTCCCAAGTTCAACTCTGAAACAGACAGTTTGCATTCGTCACAAGTGCGAGGTTAGGGTGAGATGTTAACTACCTCGCCTGGTATACAGGATGTTGTGGGTTCCATCCCGACGCTGCATGTCTCTCTCCCCGTGGTCGCGTGGATTTTTCTCCGGGTCCTCCGGATTTTCCCTCCATATTTAGAAACATGCATATTGAGTATTTGGCTGCTATACATTTCCACATAAGCCACTTCGTTGAGCTATTATTTGTGACCAAGTTAATTCTGAAGAACTATATGGCTCAGTGGGGCCTTACCTGGTAAAAAAATGTTTGTACATTTTCTTTGTTATTTAAGTAAAAATTCTGGACCATTTGAGAGTGATTAGGCCGCTGTCACCAAAACAAAACGGCTTCAGCGGATGTTTATTTTATTTTGTTGTGAAATATATCAGGAGAGCGAAAGATATCGGTGTTATCCTCGTTAAGATTTGAAGGCTTCACAACGTACGTCATTATCGTAACGAGTAACTATCCATATGCTAAGTATTGCTCTGCAGGCAAACTTATCCAGCAGAAAGGTTCGGCTCACCCATATAAATCGGGACGTTTTCGGCATCATTGTCAACAATGCAACTGCATGTAAAATCTAACTTTAAAACCAAGATACTACACTGTACTAGGCTGTAGTTAAGTCCAATACTGTGGTCAATAATGTTTGATCAGTCGCACTACGGCAGGAATTCAACATCAGTCAGTGGTTAAGAATATCTCCACAATTGTTGTCAGTCCACCGCTGGATCGAAGGCTTTGACACCATCCCGTGTCGTACATTGGTGTTTTTTTTTTTTTACCAAACGCCACCAACATTGTCAGTGCGTCTTGGTGGAAGGGGATCTCAACCATCAGTTCAAGATATCGGGAATCGAACCGATGGTTGGGCTGAGGTCGCAGCGCAGCGAAGTAACCATATCGCCACGGATCCCACCACCTCCAATCCCGCCCTAGTAATGTGTAATTTCCCACTCCTGGCTCTGCACTGAAGGCGGAAGGGGCACCTCTCGCCAGGTTCGAGTGGTCAGAGGCCGCCGACGCACCTTGGCTTCGTGAGAACCCCCAAGAAAAACACGACGCGAATGTTCTAATGGTTATCGCGTGTACACAATAATAATAATTACATTTACATAGCGGATTTTCATCAAGGATCTCAAAGCGCTTTGCCGGATAGCAGCAGCAGCAGACACTCGGCATAAAAATGATAGTATAAATACATTGAAAAATGCATTTACTAAAAAAAAACTTTAATAAGCGGAAGCGTATAAGTAAGATTTAAGGCGCATTTTTTTAAAAAAAATTGTCCACAGGCTCAAGAGATCCCTCCCGATATCTCGTGCAAGAGCTTTAAAACTTGCACCGCGTGCATAGGCAGTCCACTGCAGGACGAAGGCCCCTTCTCCTCCCCACGCCGTGTCGGTCGTGGGGGTAGGGGTGCTGGAGGTTTGACCATACTTCACCAAGCGGGTCATTGCCGGTTGAAGTGGAGATCTTTTCACATGTACCTCTCGCACAGGCGAATAACCCCGTCGTCGATCCGATTCCTTAGAGAAAAAAAAGATGCAAACTCTCGCACCTTAAGATTCTCGAATCGACGTATAGATAATTGGGCCGTCGTGTTGCGAACGAGGGTCCCTTCGCCGGGCGTTCTCAACGCAGAGCAGCAGCACGCGTCAACTCAACGAGACGAACACACACACACACGCGCGCGCACGCTAGGAATCGGCCTCGCGCTGTTCGACACAAACGCGATTCCTCTCCGCCCCCCCCACCACCACCGTAGACATCAAGAATCGATTCCGCACCATGCACACACACGTGGAATCGACGCACCGCCGCGAGCCTCCGCCAGCAGGCCGCGGCTAGCGCCCGCTCGCTTCAGCACCTTCGTCTCGCCATTGCAGAGCGCCATGGAGGTCGTCGCCTCGCCTCCGCCGCCGTCTCCGCCGCCGCCGCCGCCTCCGCCGCCGCTTACCGCCGCGCTCACCGACTCGGCCGCTCGCGCCTCAGCAGGGCGCCTTCGCTTTGGCGCCCAAAGTCCAAACGCGGAGGTGGGGGGGGGCACGGGCAACCGGAAGTGGTGGTCCGCCGGGCGGATGTGACGTCGGAGACAAGCGCGGGGGGGGACCGGGATCCCCCTCTCCCTCGGCTAGGGGTTCTTAGGGTTCTACACAGCACGTGGACTTGATCGAGGTAACTTATTATGATGGGTGAATTGTTACGAGCAGAACTCTGTGATGTCTCTTAACATTTAAGTATATATATGATTCAGCCTATTGGCAAGGTCAGACTTGTGTAAACAAATTCTGCTGGATTACACCACATTATTGGTTGTATATGATGGGTGTATTGAGATACCGTACAGTAAATGTACACGTGTTCTTTGATAAGGGTTATACGGTAAAGTATATGGGGTTAATTTGAGGACAAAACGGTTATCGTGCTGTCTTTGATTGAGAAGAGCTATTGTAATGCAACGTTTATATGTGGAGTTAATACTAGGAATGCCTTTATTTTTACAATCCAGTGTTTTTTTGGAAAGCATACATGAACCGGAGAACATGTGCAAATCGGACACATGGCAGTTGACTGTTCAGAAAAATTTACTTGCGTAGGACACACTTCTGCACGACTCAGCAAAATATAACACTGCCTTAAAAAATAAAAAGCTAGGCGACGTTTCATGCAATGGTCCTTCATAGCACACGCGTCAGAGTACGTAGTGTCCTATGAAGAAGGTCCATTGCCATAAACGTCGCCTCGTATATAATTTTATTTTAGGACAGTGTTATTGATTAATGTATTAACTTTTTGTACTGTGTTTATGCCCCACTGCCAACGCAACCAGCAGCATCACCATTTGTATACTTCCGAATGGTGTTGGTTATTGGACGAGACTGGTAACAGAATGGGCAGCAATGTTACATAAGGATCATCCCCCGAGAGGGCGACCAGCGTGGACTGATGAGATTGGCATATGTGCAGACGCGAGTTGGATTGTCCCATTGGCGGACGATGGATGGGGAGTGGTGACAACGTGGGGTCACCCAATTTTAGAAGACAATGTCAATTGATCCCTTTGCAAGAAATAGAAATGAACGACATTGCGTGTAAAATCACAGCAGTACGGCAGCGCGTTCTCCGCTTGCTGTAGAGGCTTGCGGTACGAATCCAGCGACGGGTCTGATTATTTGTGCGGGTTTAATAACCATTTTTTTCTACTTAATTATTTTATTTTACTAGGTAAGGCCCACTGAGCTAAATAGCACATTTTCAGAAGCGACCTGGCTATCACAAATTATAGCTCAACAAAGTGGCTTTTGTGGAAATTTATAGCAGCTAAATACTCCTAAATGCGTGTTTCTAAATGCGGAGAGAAAGTCTGGAGGGCCCAGAGAAAAGTCCACGCGACCACGGAGAGAGAGAGACACCGCAAACTCCAAATATAAAACAGGCGTCGGGGTCAGGATCGAACCCACTACCACCTGTATACCCGGCGAGGTAGTTAACATCTCGCTACCGCCGCGCGCATCTGCTTACAACTACCCACGCGTCGTCTGCATCACTCAGAGTGAATTTTAAGGATCCCCTGACGTTATTGGCAAGAGTAGGCCACGTAGTGTCCCAGCGCCAGGGTCTAAACATGCCAAATTAAATGACACCACACATTACTCAGTTGGGATTATACACAGGATTAGGCATCGGCAGAATAATGCCCCCGGTCACTCTTGCAAATGAGACTCACTTGGTCTGTTGCGTTCTGATCTCGTTAAAATGTTACGTGTGATACAAACTGTTCAATAAAAATGTATCTAATAAAGAGATCGAGCAACGTGTAATTCATTTTATGTAATGATCTACTTACTATAACTTCAAACTGTAGTCTGTCCAAAAAAATGACAACTACAAACAAACGTGTGAAGCGTAATTGAAACAATCTTGTATTCAGTGTATACATTTTATTAAAAAAGATTTTATTCAAATACTGTCTGTAGCTCTTAACCTCCCTATAATTCACAGCGTCCGTATCTACCTCTGTGTCCTTTTAAACACACAATTCCTTTTGGTCGCTTCCCGAGAGGCACGCGTGCACTCCTGACATCATGAACGTATCACTACTTTGTCTTATCTCAACTTGTGCGAAGTGGCCTCCCGACCTTGAGGCATCAAAGGCGCTTTAAACATTGAAGATTGTTATCATTGTTAACTTGTCTTGATGGCCCGGCACGCGCTTAACGTCCAACCAGCCTCGATACATGCGCATAAACCACCGACAGTGATGTACCGTATTAATCTCCATATATATAAAAGGCAAAGTTGTGAATATGTGTGTCTGTTCAAAATGTTTAGCGTACTTCCCGACATGCAACAAACTGGAAATTTGCCATGTGGGTACTTTCCAGACTGTACACCATGCAAAAATTATAAAAATACACTTTTGGGTTTTTTTAAGGTGGGGGGGGAGCTCAATAATGCATTTATTTTTTGCACGGCAAGTGAGCTGTGACGTCAAATCTGTCACGTGACCCTCGCACGTGGAAGCGTAACGCATTGTAGTGTAGCGGTTAGCGCTACGCCGCGCTACGAACCCGGCGATCCGAGTTCGATTCCCGCTCACGGCCACCAACGGTGACGATTATTTTAACCGCTCCTGGGTCTCCCCTAGGTCGATTCAGCCTCAAACGAGTAACTGGTGTGTGTGAACATCGCCACTGGGGAGACAAAGGCGGCCGGGCGTGGTGGATCCAAGTCCCAGGCGAAGCCCGGTCGTACAGCTCGTACAGTATATGTATCTCCCATCCTTTCCCCTTGCTAGGGGAACAATATCTCCTTCGTACATCCGTCTCTTGATGCATACAAATAATTCGCGTATTTTAACACAGTCAGTCTCATGACCTTCAGGTTGTGCATAATTTTAGCAGCAATTATTCAAGTACTGCGGACCGATTTTGACATACAGTGTCCCATCGCAAAAGAGGTTTTTAACCTCAAGGGGTTTTTTTAACTTGGTTAAATAAAGGTGAAATAAAGAAATCATCAGAGCCAGGTTTTCATGAATAAATGCCGATTAACTGCCTATCTTAGAGGCAAGGACCCGGTCTTTAAACGGGTCCAAGTACGACACAAATTTATATCCTAATACTTAACTCAAAACAATCATTCGCATCAATGTGCTAATCAGAGGCGCGGATTTTTTTTCACGGTGAATCAGTCAACTGCTGTTGCAACATCTCCATATATCCGTCTCTCCACTAAGAAACATAAAATGAATGCCTATTTTGAAAGGGTCAGAAAGAGACAACTCAACACCTTGAGGCATTCTGGAGTGGTATTCAATGAAGCATTTTGACCACAGAAATAAAAGTCATAGGGTAACGAATAAAATAGCGTGGGGCTCCCAACCAGTGGTCCGCGGATCACTGATGGTCCACAAGGCCGTGGGAAGTGGTCAATGGAACTGTTATAGATAACGACATTTTTCGTTTCCACAAAACGCCATATTCTATCGTGCATTGTTACCCGTGGGAATGTTTGCACGTTGGTAACCACTGATCTGAATAATGGATAGACTTAATGAATGGCTAATTATGTACACAGCTCACCCTGATTTATTTTCAGTGCAAAGGTATTATTATTGCGCATGTTATTTAGACTTTAGCAGTGTGGTTATAGACTGCGTTTAAGTTAATGCTGGGCCAGCTTTACATCAAAACATGGCCTTTGGCAACTTGCCCCATGTTTAGTAATGGAGACATTACACTTTTTTCCAACAATCAAATTAAAAAAAAAGTCGGGCCTATAGAATTTCAGTCTTTCATATATGTTAAGCACACGGCGAATCAATTGACTACTATGTGTTCTGTAAATTACAACCCTAGTGTTACAAGAGTGAACGTGTTAAGGGTATATTCAGTGAACTGCCCCATAATCATGAATAAATTATGTGATGAATCTCACGTTTAATTATGAAACGGAGTCAACAAGACTATTCCTGGTAAGGGAGCTTTATTGTTTAAGCCACAAAACACAAACTCGGAGGAAGATTCTCCACCGAAAAACTTCGTGTTTACACCCACCCACACTCCCTTTTTATAGCCCCCTATACTGGATAGGGGGCTATAAAACCTTCCAGGTTTTCCAAGGTCCCCTCCCTCTCACCAATCGCGTCGCACGCTCCATCTCCGCTCCTCCGAACCAACCTCCTTGCCCATTTTCCAGCTCTTTACCTTTCCTGAATCCCTCAACAAATCCTCTGCGTCCCCACTCTGAGCTATCACGGCTTCGCGCCGATTATTTTTTTATTAAGGGGACTTCAGAGATCCTTAGAATTGTGTACGAACCAGCATTTTGCAGCCAGAGTAACGCAATAGCGACTCGGGGATTTGGACCCCAAAGCCACACGCGCACATTAGGGCAGCTGTAAAAAGGTTCGTGCTTTGGAGCTTTCTTAAGAGCTGGCAAAACTAAAGACGGAGGGGATTGAGCAAGCAGTGTTTTGCGGCGTGTGGGCTGGTGTGGTGTCTCTTGGTTCCTTGCAGAGATACGAAAGCAACCCAGAAGAGCACTTTTGAATAAAGTGTTCCCATTACAAGAGCCACTCGTGGTCCCTCTTTGTGACGGTGTCCCAGCCATCTCAGCCAGCCGCGTGATATGGTAGGGGACAAGGAAACAGCGTAACACAATCGTCCCCGATTGTTTTTGTAATGCTAGCCGGTCTTCTTGTTACGATTACAGCGGCAGACAAGGCAGGACGGGCCTGCTACACCAGCAGTGGATTTATCATGTCAGGTGATGGTGAATTGTTTCTAGAATCTGATATCCACCTATTGTATTGTTTCGTATTTTTTCACACCCAAGACGCCAAGCGGTCTGCAAAAAATATCAACTATTAATGCAAATAAAGAGTAATTCATACGCTTCTTGAATTGAGTATTGTTACAATAACTTGGGAATAGAGACCTTGAGCAGGAATTCCGAAGTCGAATAATGCTAGGAACGAAGCAGAACAAGAAATGTGCGGTATGGGGCCATCCATTTAGTACGTACGCATGGAGAGA